AACCACAACATCAGCAGCAGCAACGGCAGCATAAACACAAAATTTTCGCTTCAGGTGTACAGGCAGCTGCCTTCAGCTGCCTCGGGGTTCTTAGGGCCCCTAAGCAGAATGTCGAGTGAGATCCCTAAACCCTAAACCCTAAACCATAAACCCTAAACCCTAACCCCCAAGGCTAGCAGTGGCAGTCACGATTTCCGCTGTTGCGGTTGCAGTTGTTGCTGCCGCCGCTGCAGTTGCTGCTGCTTCAGTTGCTGCTGCTGCAGTTGCAATTGCTGCTGCTGTTACAGTTCGCTGCTGCCTCTGTGGTGTTTTGCTGCACAACAGGCTCGCGGCGGGGTTGGGGGGAAGATGACCAAGAACGGTGTTATGTGAGCCGCCTCGGTATTTAGGGTTTAGGGGTTTAGGGTTTAGGGTTTACGGTTTCAGGGTCGAGGATTTTAAGGTCTAGGGTTTAGGGTTTGTTTCTAGGTCTCAGCGGTCGGACTCCAATTTTGGGGTTCAGGGTTTAGGGTTTAGGGTCTGGGGTTTGGTGTTTAGGGTGTAGGGTTTGCGGTATAGGGTTTAGGGTTTAGGGTTTAGGGTTTGGGGTGTATGGACACAGCGGAACCTGGCGGAGAAGCAGAGCCGTGGGAAGACGGGACTGGGCTTTGGCGGCGGCGGCAGCAGCAGCAGCAGCAGCAACAGCGGCAGCAGCAGCAACAGGGATTCGCTGTCCTCTATGTTTGTCAAGAGCGTTCAACAGGCCTGCGTAGTCGGTCAAAGACCACACAGCAGCAGCAGCAGCAGCAGCAGCAGACGCCGCTATCGCCAGCGCAGCAGCAGCAGGAGCAGCAGCAGAGAGAAGGGACGTCGGAGGGGCAGCAGCAGCAGCAGGAGCCGCAGCAGCAGCAGACGCCGCAGCAGCAGCAGACGCCGCAGCACCAAAAGCAGTAGATACTTATCCAGCAGCAGTAGTAGTAGTAGTAGCAGCAGCAGCAGCAGCAGCAGCAGCGGCCGTTCGTATCAGCGAAGCAGGAACCGTAGCCGTAGCAGCAGCAGAGAAAGGCATGGCAGCAGCAGCAGCAGCAGCAGCAGTAGCAGCAGCAGCCGGAATCGTGTGCGGAGCAGGAGCAGGAGCCCGAGAAGATTCAGTAGCAGCAGCAGCAGCAGCAGCAGCAGTAGCAGTAGCAGCAGCAGCAGTAGCAGCAGCAGCAGCAGCAAAGGCGTAATGGACGTTGCTGATCCTGCTGCTGCTTTGAAGGCAAAAGTTGCACGGCGCCTGCAAGTGAGGCTAGGGTTTAGGGTTTAGAGTTTAGGGTTTAGGGCTTAGGGTTTGTTGACAAGGGCGAAGAGATGCCTTCCAAGGGTTTACTGTCTAGGATTTATGGTTTAGGGTTTAGGGTTTAGGGTCTGTGCTGCAGGAGCAAAAGGAGAG